TGATGTTCATCCTCCAGTCAGCCTGGAGTCAGCCCCACAGAGCCCAGCAACTACGAGTTGTGACAGAGAGCACACGTCCATGTGGCCGCTATTTCAGTGATATAATGTGGCAAATACTTCAATGCCAGTAAGAATATGATCCAATGACAATTCTCCAACTCAGCCAGATTTACAATGCTGCACCACATGTCCACGCACTTGTGCACACAAGTTAAGACCTGATGTGAGATTTGATCATCCCTCGACTCATATCGACATTGATAAATGCTGAGCTATTTTTTCTGTCGTACGTTTGTTTTATGAATGAGGGCCATTGCAACTCAACACTTTCTAAAGATATCATTATATTTGATGTCCATATGCAATAAACATTCGTAAAAAGGTAATATCTATAGCTAATTTGTCATACCAGCAAAGCTGCTCTGACTTTCAAGATGTATTTTAATTTATGAATTATTGCAAGGATAACCCCGTAGGTCTGGAGGTGAATGGTTTAAAATGCAATGTGTCCTCATGGAATGGTTCGTATGATATCTTACAAAAATACAGACACAACTGTTTGTATGATATCCTACAAATTAGTGTCCCATGTATGACGCTACATTCTCATTGTTCAGTTATATAGTTAAGGTCAAGTTGTGGAGGTAAGGTTAGGCAAGTAAAGTTACTGTGGTTAGGTTTAGGAAAAGAAACATGGTGAGGACATACCTTAAAATCAAAGTTCACACGGTTCTGAACATCAGGGGAAAATCCCAGGGAGAAGTTCTTCTTTTTTTTTTTTTTTCTTTTTAAGCAAACATTCTCTTCATTAGCTCCTGTATGTGCAAGTACCTTGCATCAGCTGTCACACTAATTCACCAAGGCTGCCAACCCTGCATGCTAAAGCCCTTTCCTAATTAGAACCCTGTGATCCAATCTGAGATCCCTGGTCCTTGGCCTGATGTGATGGTGAGACTGACTGCAGCAATGACAGCAGTCATTCACATTAAGTAAACACTTCACATCTCCTCTCAGATGTCTTGAATAAATTACCATAAGAGTAGGCATTGTGTCAAGTGTTCACTTACAGTAAATCATAAAACAGGTGAATGTTTCCTCCTCAGCTGTTATGAGGTTGAAGCACTGATCTACCTGTGTTTATTGGATAAAATCAAGCTTTTGATAAAAGTGGAAACATTTTGATCATATTTTGGTCATCAGGCTGGGACTCCAGCATCACAGGTTTATAATTAATTTTGATTAAGCAAAAAGTTTGATTATTATTATGTACTGGTTATAAAGCCTGGCGGTTGCTCAGGGAATGATAGCTGCCATAAAGTCATTCCATTGTCATTCCAAAGTCATCAAATACCGCCGCTTTGTTAGTGATTTTGGTTTCAGACGCTGATGCCAAAAAGCCACCGCGTGCCATGAGTTTGTAACGTGACCGGACAGAACCTTTCGTGGTGTTATGATAAGCCGCCGGTTGGCTGGACAGCACCTGTTGCAACAATATGCTATACAGCTGGACAGTGACAGGTTGACACACTGCCGGTAATGACTTGATATAAGTGACTAAAAATTCCTTGCCTGGTGTTCACTTCCCATATAAATGTAGAGCCAAACCATGATGTTTTTTCTAAACCTAACCACGTGCTTTTATTGACGTCCAAGCAGTGGTTGCAGTGTCAACAGCAGATGCAGTAGGACACCTAGTGCATAGTATGTGTGTGTGTAAGAAAGTCCACTGACAAACTGGCAATATGTGATGAACTGGAATGAGAATGTGCTGATAAAGACCCTACTCTACTCTGTTAAAGCAGATTAAACACCATTGAGCCACAAAGTACATATAGTGAAAGAGGAGAGCACTAACAGTTTATTAAATGACAGCTGGCAGTAGTGAGAGATATAAGCACTAGTGAGAGATATAAGAATCTCTGCTTCGCAGTTCAGAAATGGTTGTTTTGAACCTAACAGTATTTCAGTGACATTCTATAAATTACTGACACCTCACACTAAACAAAATATTATCAGAAATCAGCAGGTTATATATTTCATTAATGCAGAGTTATTCAGCTGTAAAACAAACAAATATTTATAAATATTATATATATATATATACACATATATATAAATATATATATACATATATATATACAGTACAGGCCAAAAGTTTGGACACACCTTCTCATTCAATGCGTTTTCTTTATTTTCATGACTATTTACATTGTAGATTCTCACTGAAGGCATCAAAACTATGAATGAACACGTGGAGTTATGTACTTAACAAAAAAAGGTGAAATAACTGAAAACATGTTTTATATTCTAGTTTCTTCAAAATAGCCACCCTTTGCTCTGATTACTGCTTTGCACACTCTTGGCATTCTCTCCATGAGCTTCAAGAGGTAGTCACCTGAAATGGTTT